CACGTTACTTTCTTTTTATTATAACAGTAGTAGTAGTTCGCCGGATATGCAAATACCAAAGTTTGACCTCGCCGACTCCGAAGACTCCGACAACGAGTACGAGCACGCGACGAAACGCGTAGCACTGCAGGACTCGAATATATCGCGTTACCACAAGGAGTTCCACGAGCTCGGTTTGATCGGGGCCGGTGAATTCGGCTCTGTGTACAAGTGCATCAATCGGTTGGACGGGTGTACGTACGCAGTCAAGAAGAGCATCAAGCCTGTAGCGGGCAGCACCAACGAGAAGAATGCGCTGAACGAGGTGTACGCGCATGCCGTGCTCGGCAAGCATCAGCACGTGGTCCGCTACTATTCTGCTTGGGCGGAGGACAATCACATGATCATCCAGAACGAATACTGCAACGGCGGCAGTCTAGCGGACATGATCCTCTCGATGCAGGAGCAGAAGCAGCATTTCAGCCAGGCGGAGATGCGCCAACTGCTGTTGCACGTGGCCGAAGGGCTGAGGTATATACACAGCGTGCAGCTTGTCCACATGGATATCAAGCCTGGCAACATCTTTATCACCAAGGAAAAAAAATTGCTCGCCATCAACTATGACTCCACCGATGACGGTTTCGACGAGGACGAGACCGTCGACGAGGAGATCACGTACAAGATCGGCGATCTCGGCCACGTCACTTCCATCAGCAATCCGCAGGTGGAGGAGGGCGATTGCAGATATCTTCCAACGGAGATTCTGCAAGAGGACTTTACTCATTTACCGAAAGCCGATATCTTTGCCCTAGGGCTGACCGTTTACGAAGCCGGTGGCGGTGGGCCTCTGCCGAAAAACGGACCCGCGTGGCACGACATTAGACAGGGGAAATTGCCAAACCTGCCACACTGCAGTCGCGAGCTGAACGACTTGTTGAAGGTGAGACCTTATTTCCAAAGTTTCAACGGCAAATAATTTTTCTGCCGATCTATCCGCTGTGTATAAGAGTCTTACATACAGCGGATAGGTCATTTTCCCAACAAAAATCATTGCTCTTCTTCTGACGTTTGCTGTTTTGTGTTATTTACAGCAAATGATTCATCCCAATCCGGAAGAGAGGCCATCGGCGATATCTTTGATGCAACACCGAGTCCTATGTCCGCTCGGGAAGAAAACCAAAGCGCAATTGCGAAGGGAATTGAACGCTGAAAAGCTCAAAAATGAAATCTTGTCCAAACGACTCCATGACGCGGCGTTGTACCTGAAGTCTATCACACCGAACGTTGTCGGAGAGGGTGGTAATAGCGACCGACAGTTGCGACCGATAGCCACCAGATTATCGTCATCCCGTATTATAGGCAAAAAAGTCAATCGTAGTAATAGCACTACGAACTTTTGAATCTTTTTCTCGTTGACTTTTGACACCGGTAGAGTTTCGGAAGGTGGAACTTGAGGGAGCGATCGTTTTCCTGAAGTCACCTTAACATGTGATACCGTATCTAGTTTCTTTTAAGTATGATTCCAGTAAAAAATAAGACGTTTATACACACCAGAATGCCGAATGAAATTACATACGATTGTAAAGAGCATTCCTCCCTATGATGATTATCTCCTGTAATACGATTGACGTTTATTATATAGCTGTAAACAACGTAATATCTTAGTACCCTTATACTATAATATGGTTGTGTATTTTTTTTTTCTTGAATTGTTATCGAAAACGAAATTTGTTAGTATACGAACGTGTAGCAAGCAAGTTTGGAGTCATTTTTTGGGGAGAGCGCTGAGGGAGCAAAGTTTGATTTAATCCAAGGTGTAATTTATGCTCGAATGTGACAAGATAGTATAATATTCGTAGAGTCGATTGGCATAAATTTTTTTTCTAAATTATGAAATGAAGCTGCATTATAGCAGGCTAATTTTGTGCAGTAAGAAAGTTTTTGAGGCCACTTGATATTCTTTCCTGTTTCAACGTTGATAGAATCTCTTGCGCTTATCGAGTGTTGTTTTTTTTTTTTAATACTGGGCTCTAAAACTTTCCTTATTTCAATATAAAGTTTTTTTTTTCATTAAAGTAATTTTATTCTATCTCGGTATGCAGTGCATGCGGAGTAATAAGTAAAAATCGCATGTAAGCGAATAAAGATAAACTATTTGTGTCTTTTACAATTTTTGCACGTTCAATATTTATATGTTATAAAATCTAATAGTTATCTCACTTTTCTCTCTCAGGAATTTAGGGTTTATAATCATTTTCTTAAACGTTTAAACGTTTTTCTTTTATACTTTATAAACAACGAACTTTTCCTTTTTGTAAAAATGACAATCCACGACTGAACAAGTACGTTCTAGTTGTATTAATAACAACGAAAATTGTTCTTATATCTTCTTAACCTGCTTTCGCTTGCTGATTGTAACGCTTTCTTTACAATCTCAATAACAATGCACGGACTATTTTGTATCTCGTAAAAAAAAAAACCAAAATTTACCTGTATAAAAATAATAAGTACGTCCATACACTTGTCTATCTTATTGTCTTTTTACTTCAGTCAGTATTTTGCCAAAAAAAATAATAGGAACGTCATTATTTATGCCTTTAAAATGTAAGCTTTAGCTATAGCGCGAAATCTCAGGTTGACGAGTATATTTTTCTACTGTAATATAACGTTTTATACAATGTGCCGTTTATTACTTAGCTGATCACAAAGTGGCTTTTATTATTCGTTATGAAGATACAAATTTTGCGTTACAATATTATGTAGACTATTGACAGCATGAATTTCATAATGTAGAAGAAACATTTGTTTATATTAATAATTCGTGACTTGTAATTTTCTATTTCATTAGAGATTAGCTAAGTATTAAAACTATGTAATATTTAGACAATACTATTTAATTTAGATAATCATTTACCGCTGTGCCTTTACGGCTTATGCCATAATATTGGAAACTAACGTTCCTTGTTATTTTTATCAGCATTTCTAACGACACGCATGTTTCCGTTAACTGCCAACTTCCGTTACAATCGCAAAATGATTTTATCAAATAATTTTGCCCGTATCTAATTCTGAAATAAGTGTTATTTAATCTTACAAAGTTAAACAGAGTAACAATCGGTTTATAAGATCACAGGCACGATATTCGATTTTATATAAGTGAAATTTAAGAAATAGGTTTTTAAGATCTTTTCGAAAAATACTAATTTTTACAGTAATTAGCATTTATTTAATAGCACCGGACAAATTAAAGAAATGCAAATTAATGCGCACGTTATATCAAGGATTATTTTAAATGTAAGCAACATATGTCAAGTTTAATTCTTTTTCTGTGATTAAAGATACTGCTAGAGAATCGATCGTTTTAATCAAATTTATCTTGTGCTGCTGTTTTATTTTGTAAATTTTGCTTCTTTGTTGAAAAAGAATATAAAGATAAGATCAGGCATGCTTTCTTACGCGTATTTATTATAGAATAATCCTTGACAGATATATGCACGCGTTTCTTTAATTTGTCTATCAAACTACTATTAAATAAGTGCTATAGTTATTATTACGAAACTTGGGGAACGATAAGATAATAAAATTAAAAACCTATTTCTTAAATTTTAGATTGAATATCTATTTGAAAGTGTCAAATTTCAACAAAGTTTCGTACGAAATAAAAATATGACACGAGCAATTGTCAACATACAAATAACAGTTTCCAATCGTGAATAACAAGTTGATGGTTCCTATGTTTTTCACATGCTGCTCTTTTTCCGCATATCGAAGCTTTTATTTCCACGGCGGAGAACAAATTGTTAATAATAGACATTCATGCTGCTCAGGTGATATGTTAGCATTTAGTTTGCAGGATTTTACTATATTTCCCAAAGATTGATGTTATCGTTAATATACACGTTGACTTCCGTAGATGTTTCTCTGACGCCAACTTCGTCACTCTGCCAAGTTGTAAAGCATGCTGATGTAATCCGAATTCTTAGTATTAATAAGGGGAAGCTTGTGAAAAGCGACTTGGGCGATTGTTTTCATCTGCTCCGAGCGAGTGAACTGTGTCACTATATAAAATAAAACAGCGTATTTTTTAAGATTAGCATCTTGAAAAAAAATCATACTGCTATCAAGAATATGCAACTGTCATTGTTAAAATTAGTACAAAATTTTGTACTAATTAGTATTTAAACTGTATGATTATATATCCATAAGACATAGTAACATCAAATTGTTTTGATTGATGCATTATTTTCTTATGTATCTTTTACACGAGTCGTTTGTATAATAAGCGTCTATTATAATTTAATGTGCTATTACAGAACGATAGAAATTAACAATATAGTGACGCAAAATATACGATTAATCGATTAATTTATAAATTGATTGAATGAACGAATTCAATGGATTTATTAATTTATATATTGATCGATTTTAATTCATGAACTAGATCAACAGAGATGATTTCAATATAATATAAGCAAAACGGAAGATTGTTAAACAATTATATTTTGTGTCTTTTATATTAAGATTTGTATCGTTTTATATAACAGTGTGACACATTCCAGTGTGATACCTTTGTTATACAAACGCATTATTTTTTACATTATTTTTCGCGTTACGCTCGGAAAAGATTAAAAAGAGCCGGTTAGTCGCATGTTACAAGCTCGTCTTGTAAGGTTTTTTTCTTATACTTTCGTTGATTCTAATGAACATAGCATGCCAGACAATATCTCCGTTTTATATAATACATCGCTGGTTATATATATACATATATATATATAATTAATAGATCGGACAATATATTCAACATATCTCCTGCTAGTTTGTCATACAATGTTATCTTTCCCCCTATTTTTTAACATAAAGAACCGAAAATCCTGCGCTTGTTTATCGAATGTGATACATGCGAAGGGGAAGTTTACACGATTTTTGTATGCATATTCGCATAATGTACCTAGTTTTAAGACGTTACTGTATTTATATATGAAAACAATTTTGAAAACGTCGCGTATGTCGAAAAATATATGCATGAATGTCTTTCTAAATGAAGAAGGGAAAGTGAAGTTCCACCAGCAGCAGGACGAACTTTAAGCGTGAACAAGTTCATATCCTGCTAAGTAAATACTTAGGCTTAAATTGTTTCAATTATTAATTAATTATTCAATTATTAATTATTATATTACTATAATTATTATTATTATTATTACGAATGATGATTAACTGATTGTTACGCTTTCCATTCTTACAATCTCTCCATCATGTAAGTCTAATATAAAGACCGTTACTTCGCGCAAGAGCTAACTTGAACAGTTTTCGGCGAGCACTGATAAACACTGGTGCTAGTTAACGTGTACAAATTAGCGGACTTGGCTCATCGGAGCCCTCCTATATGTAAAAATTGACAGTATCTTAGGGCGTGTGTCGGCTGATTTCACAACGAGCGTAATGCATCACATACTGTGATTCGATTGGATTGTTAATGTTATATGGTTTGCATTTCTTCATCATTGAATTTACTCCTACTGACATTTTGTGAGATAACACTTCAAAATTCAATAAAGGGAGAGAAAAGGAAAAATTGTATTACTGCGAGTGCTTAACGAAGAACGATTCGTCCTGACCTGCATGATGATCCATCCCATGATTTATCCCAGGAGACAACGAAACCGAGGATGTCCGTCGAGGATTCTCTCGCATAACGCTTTTCTAACGTGTACATCAATCATTGAGAAAGATTCAGAGTAAACTCGTTTCGGGGAGATCAACGTCGTTTCTTTCCTGTTGAACGCTTTTCTAACGTGCACAATCGTTGAGAAAGATTCAGAATAAAGTCGTTTCGGGGAGATTAGCGTCGTTTCTTTCCTATTGAAATAAAAGTGGCACAGTTCCATGACGTATATCAAATTGACTTTGGATCTGTTTACGTTCCGGATACTTTGTTTTTCTACAGTAGAAAGTATCTTACCATTTTTAATTTTTTGTCATGCGAGAGTGAACGGGCCAGAAATAAAATTCGGATTTTTTTGCCTGATAGGTGATCGCATTAAGCTCATCCAACATTCCCAATTGAGGATCTAAAAAAGAGACTTTCGTGAATACATATAATCCGTAAAGATTCTCTAATTTTTCCCCTCCTTGAAGTGGAACCTTTACTTCGATAAAATCTAACTTAATGGTTAAACCCTTAATGTCAACAATTGACAGCTTAAAAACTAAGTACAACGAAAAGGGCGACAAGGAATTTGTTCTACAATTATTAATACAATTAAATATAATAGATATTAAAGGGTGAGAGAGAGCTTACTTGCTTTTGTCGATCGCGCCGGTTAACAGATATATATGCCAGTTATGAAGTAACTTTGTTTTTGTTTCTGCTTCGGAAGGACCCGAGTCTGACATTCTAAATCTAAATAATTACCTGTTAAAATGAATCATCGAGGCTTTCTATTTTCAAACACGCGCTGCCTATAAAATTATGACACCCCTGGCGAAAAGGTTTTTCATATTGTAGATTTATGAAAAATTCTAAAAAGACGTCAAATTTTTCGGATACTAATTAGATAAGGATTTTTGAAATATTTCGGTATCTATATATGTGTAAACAATACATCGATTTCTACAAAAATATGTTAGCGAGAAAAATCTGAAATATTCTGTTATAATTTTGTCTGAGTTTTTTTTTAATATTTCAATTCATGTAAAAAAAAATCTTAAAATTTTCATAGAAATTCTAATAAATAATGTGAAAAATTTCGAGATATTTTTCCATCGGGGAGAAACTGCACGATTTATGCTTGTTACGTCTGTGGTCATCTTACGTCACTCGTATCCATGGAAACGTTTCGTTGGTCTCGTCTGCTGTCGTCTGCTCGTCTGCTGATCCCGTCACTCCTGGTGATTCCTGGTTCCTGGTCGTTCCTGCCTCGGAGATGTCACGGAAGGTCGTGGCCCTCGTTCACCTTTGGCCGGTGCAGTTCCGTTAATTTGAAGGAGGAGCCTCAAAATTAAACGAAGATCAATAATAATAATTCTACGCGAACCGTGTCGCCGAACAATAGATAACCTTCAATGTCGTAAATAATTCCGCATGTTATTACGTCTGCGAAAGCTACTTTTCACGACGAGTTTTTCCTTCTTAGATTCACAAATATATATATAGCTCGCAATGTTTTCGTTATATTTTTGTCAACTATAGACTATGTACGATAGTGGTGTAACGATAATGCATGTAACGGTTACGCAATACTAATGGCTGTCAAATAAATAATCTTCTGTGTACGAAAAGAATTCCCTTATTCAATTGGCACCAATTTCAATTCCTCGAATATGTCATAAGAGGATAATCCTGTGCGACACGTTATCTTTTTTTATACTCGTTCCATCACTTTCAGATATACGCTTTCATTTAGCACATCGAGAGGATAGAGGATCGTATAGAATAAGTCACCAAGATCGGCGCTTGTGTTTCTAAATTGTTTATAATTGGGCACGTTTTTACAAGAGTCTATGTCAATCTCTAGTATTAATTCTCTTTTGCGTAATACTCTTTTTTTATCTGCAACAAAATTCGAACATCAGATGTATGAAAATATCATAAGAATCTACATTAGAATTATTTCTACCTCTTGCGGTAATGCTGTTTTTTTATCTGCAACAAAATTCGAACGATCAGAATATGAGAATATCACAAGAATCTATATTGAAGTGATTTCTATCCTGCTTTAATTAATTACAATTACTGGTAATTAATGGGATGCATTTGCAGCAAGTTTCTTCCAGTTTTTCATCTACCGACATTTTATGCATCTTGTTTCTAAGAATGTTATTTTCAATGTTGTTCCAATCGACAAGATTGATGGGGATACAGCTACGGCATCAATTAACTTAAATTATTTGAATACAATTTGTATGATTAGAATATAATAGCCAGAAATGAACTTATGCTAAATGCTGTCTTAAAGTTGAAGAGTTAATTTCACATTTCTCTTTGCTCTTTTCACCTCATTGAAAATGGTTTCTGTAGAGCCTGAAAATTTTAGCTTTCACGCATGCTTCTTTAGGTAAGATTATCAAAGATGATTATTACTTTATAACTTTATTAATTCAATATGCTAGTAATGTCTCTACTGTAAGATGCTGATGGAGAAAAATATAATCTATTGTTCGTTTTATTTAGGTGCGTTTCGAAATAATTTGAAATGTGTGTAAAGATCAATCCGCATCCGAGGAAGAAAACTGGTCTTTTCTATCGATATGGATATGTACTCTTAATGCTCGCATGCATGATATTTGCGACTATTCAACCGCATATTGGCGGAACGAATGGTAAATCGGTTTTCTAGACTTCAATGCATAGTTTAATAAAGAAAAGAGAAACCATATTATGTACAGAAAGAATTCTTGCTGTATTTCTATCATATCAATTGAGATAATAGTGCATTAATGTTACGGTATTGCGTTTTCCGTTTCAGGTCTGATCAACGGTAACTTTATTATTCGCTATTTCGCTGTGCCTTTAACGTACTTGGAAGCTGGATTATTATGCGATCCCAAATCTCTTTACTCGACGCTGAAGAACGGCTATCTTCTGACATTTGTGATGGTTTTCGTGTACATTTTGATGCCCTCTCTAGCACGACTCGGGACGTATCTGTTGATGACCTATGCGAAAGTTAATGTGTGGCTACTCAAAGGAATGGAGGTGATCCAAAACATTTTTATAATCCGCAATTAATTAATCTCCCTTTAACGCACGATAGAGAGATGCTAAATGGTGGCTCTATAATACTTGTAATACTTTTCTTACTTATATAGCTGCAAGTGATAAAGCAATTGTTATATATTTCAGGTCCTTTACTGCATGCCACCGCCATTCAGTACGGGACTTGCCTTGTGCCGTTTGGCACAGGCTGATTTGCCCACGAGCGTAATTACCACCCTCGTTTCGCACTTTGGAGGATTATTCTTATCTCCTATTTTACTATATCTAATGGTAAATCCTTTTACCCACAAGAAATATGTTTTTCTTATTGGAACACATTATATGTGTTCTAACAGTCTATCATTTACCTTTACGTATTTATGTTTATACTGTTCTAGCATACATTTACAATTAGAGTTTATTTTTTTGAATAGCTATTCTGAAAGACTATAAGATGTCGTAAATAATTTCTTTTAACAGTTAGGGACATCTACTCCACCACTAGTCGGAATTAACATCAGAGAGACTATATACAGCACGCTTATTCCATTGGGGACGGGTATCGTTCTACGGGCATTCGTACTGAAAAACAGATGCTTGAACGTTAATACGAGTTGGTTTTCCCAAGGTTTGTTGCTAGCAATAGCGTATCACTGGTTTTGCGACGCCGTACTGGCAGATGCTTCATCATTGCAAGCGGTGGATATACTGTTCTGCGTACTCATCAGTAAGTTATTTAGCTTGTATTTAATCTCTCGAATAACAACCACATCCAGCATATTTAACGCTACATGTATCTTTTCAAGCATGCCTGGGCCAGCTCCTTCTTAGTAGTCTATGCTGGATCTTGTGCTCCCAGTGGTTGCCGCGGGATATTCTTCTGGCTGCGTTATTTACCAGCACTCACAAATCCGTTAGTCTCGGCGGTTGGATCTTGCGTGGAGCGTATCACGGCTCAGCTCATGGGCCAGCAGTGAATTTGCCATTAACGATATTACCCGTTGCACAATTGTTGTTAGGTAGTTTGTTAGCCAGCTGGCTGGCTCCATAAGAAAAAAAAAAAGTTATAAAGTGGTCTTACTTACAAATGCCTACATTCGTTTTATAGAGAGATATCATTGTATCTTCCAAGCTTACCGTTTGTATAAGATGTACGATAATTAGCATTCCGTTTTTTTTGCTTTATCTTCGAATCCTGAAAGGAATGACTCGTAAAAATTATTACAGATCAATTTTAAGAGATATTTAATCAATCTGGAGTATTAAAAGTTTATTTAATAAAGTATATTATAGACAGAAAATAGATAAATTGAATAAATATATCGGTATCAACATCTTTATAAATTTTTTAAAGGTGTAACTAGTTAAGCACAATGCTGTAATGTAGAGAATCACTTTTACATTTCACCAAATAATTTGTATTCGCTCGTTAATGAAATTACTAGGAATGATTACGTTTTGGAACCGAGTAATTTTCCATACGAATATTTATATGTTATTTATGATCGTTATATATCGTGTAATTCAATACTTACCTTGAAACTGGATGGAATGGTTTGTAAGAATGATGTATTACTGTTTTGATCTGGATTGAAAGAATTTATGTAAATAATGCGCGAAATATTTCATATCTATATAAATCTCATTGCATTTTTCAGCAATCTAATCCATTGACATCTTTTAAAAAGAAACAATAAAGATGATACATTGTACTGCTCATTATTACAAGAACCGTTTTAAATAGGTACAATAGATAAAAGTCAACAGCCAATCGAGCGAGATGTTACGACTTACGATTGAATTATATAATATAGAGATACCTATTTATATTATATAAATTACAAATATAGTTTCCTCATCTTCGAATGAAAAAGTTCTGGATATCCTCGAAATTACAAGCTCCTACTTATCCTAAGTCCGTCTACCATGTTAACGAGCCTTCAAAATAACAAGAGCTAGGAAAAACAATTCGAGTTCTACGTATAAAAGAAGAGGACTTGTGAAACTCAGAATGACAGGTGTTTCTTTTTTTTTTATCTTCCCATACAAAACATAGCGACTTTATTCTACAAATAATAGGGATAAATTTTGTTCAATTATTCCTGTTCGAAAAACTTGCGTGTTGATTCACTTATCCTTCTTTTTCCTTTCTCTATTTATGTTGCGCCACTTAATGTGATACGTCGTACCGTCACTGGTGCGCACATTTATAGTATATTCAATAATATTAACAAATAGTGTAACACTCATGATAACGCTGATGAGCATGATGTAATTCGATTCCTTCGTGTAAATCATGGCAATAGACGCATCAAACGGCGGTGCAGCAATGTAGGCGTAAGTACCAGGTCGCGTTCGACGATCGGCCCGGATGGTCACGCAGTCGTTACATTTGACACCAAGCTCCTGTCACAAATGGCGCTGACGCTGACGCCGATGCTGCTATCGCCGCCAGCTACGCGACTCCCCGTCCTCGTCTTCTTCCTCCTCGTTCTCTTCTAAGAGAAACGCCTCCGTGCCCTGGAAAAATTGACATCTTTAACGCTTGAAGAACCAACAGACGATATGGAGATGCTCTTATCGTAGAATATTTATGTTAATTAAATTTTTACTGCACAAAAGAAACGGCATGCTGTATCAGTGCTGCGTTTTATGTAAATTTCAGACAAATAACAAAAATTCTTTCTATTAAATATCTTCTTGCCTATTTGCGAAATAATAAAAGTCGTAGGAAAATCTTCTTGATCGATATAAACCCTAAAATATCTGAAAAAATTAAAATTCTAAATTCTCATATATCATCAGAGAATATTTCTTCATTTTTTAAATAACTTATTTGTACATTCTACTTAAACGGACTATTATTTTTATCAAAGTCGGAATTATACAAGTCTTATGTTTACCTCTAAGTCGATATCCTCGTCTGCAGTAGGTGCAGTTTGTTCGGAACGCGATGAGAGCTGTATAGATGCGCTCGAATTAGTAGCTCCTCCACGATGTAGATGATGGCCGGACACCCAAGTTATTGATAACAATCTGTCTTGAAATGTGCGTCCTTTCACTAGGGCTACCTCAGCCTCTTTCCTCGATTTGAAATTGATAACGATCGAAGGTGTCGCGTCGTCGACTATTTGATTTACTATTTCACCAAATTGCTGAAGCACAAGAGAAATTGGCAACATTAATTGCACGTCGTGTGCTTGTTGAAATGTCAATGAAAAGGATACATGGAGCCTTAAATTATAAATTTGTAACAAATGTGCAATGCCAAACTGTTGGTTACCAGAAGAATAACAATATTACACATTGATCTTAATGTTTCTACTGACAAAGAATAAGTTTTATGAAAAATAATTAAACATTCAAGAAATACAGATACGTACATACAAGATCTTTTTGTATCTCTTATTTTTGAGCGATAAAAAAATCGCTGTACAAATATTACGAATGCATAAATCTTACTTGAAAATGCGCTAGGACCTCCGCCTTTTCTTCAGTTTCATAACCGGAGACTAGAAGACTCGTTGGCCGGTGATCCACCGAGACATGAGCGAAACTTCCTCTGCCGCGGCCCCTGAAAGACAGCGCGGTGCCGCGTGCGACCCGGCTGACTTTCGTGCCTCTACCCACGCCGGGATTCGTGTTCAAACCCAACGCGGCCGCCTGAGCTCGAAGTTCGTTCAATCTCTTCTGCAACTCGCCAGCGTCTTGGCCTTCTTGTTGCGCGGTCATTAAATCTAACTCGGCGTCCAGGATCTCCTTCTGCGCCTGCTCCCTAGATTTCACCTGCGACTTGTTACCGCCAATCTGGCCGTTCGCGGCCAAATCCTTACGCAAATTGTCGACCGACTGCTGCATAGCCTTTATCGTCGGCATGATCGATTCCTTTTGTTCCGGATTCTTTTCAGCCTTGTCAATCAGTGCACGCAATTCAATCAGATGCTTGTCCAGCAATTCTTGTTTCCTCTTGCGCAGATCGGCGGTCAGCTTTATCGCCTCCTTACGCTTCTCCTCTTGCTTCTTCTTTAGCGTTTCCTTAGCCGCTAACATCTCTTGCGTTTTCTTTATCGCGAGAACTTTGTCTTCTCGAGTAGGAACAACGGCAGCTTTAGGTGAAGTCGGAACCAAGGTTTGCGTGACTTGTTCCTCGGTCGAACGACGCGTGGGAACGTACTCGTTATCTTCGGTTTTCGCCGGTAATGTTATCGCGGCGCCTAGTCTTTCTTTCACAGAGGGACGGCATCCTGAAAACAATAAAATTCTTCGTTACTAAGTCACGCTCGACATTTTAACGTCTACAATATTTATTGTGGATAATAAAAGATGCGCTATCTTACCCGGTGGCACATTTTCGATTGCTCCACCAGCCGCATTATTATTGACGTTATTATGCCAAAATACTTTAATAAATCTATTATTCAACACAGCCTCTGTGCTTCTGTAAGCAGACTTTGCTTCGGTTGGCAACTGGAAGGTAACCAACGCTGCCTCAGGATCGCCGCCGAAATTAACTTGGATATTTACAATTTTACCGAATTTGGAAAAATGATTATTTAATTGTGTTATGTTGTTTAAGCTTCGTGGAACCTTTTTCAGTTCCAGAGAGCAATTGGCCGGGTTATGCACTACTCTCTGTTTCGGTCCCAGACGATTAAAGTCAAATGCTTGTTTGCGTTTCAGCGGATTGCTCTGGGTGTGGGTGATTTCCGACGAATTTGTGTGGGGAATAACCGGCACACTGATCAGTTCTCTTTGTCCCCTGCCGTAAATCCCAGGCGCAGGTTGCGGATGTCTACCCCATGGCATTCGTGGCTCCATGCTAGGTGCGTCCGGATTATATTCTGCGAAAACATCTAACACATTTAATTCGTTACATTTAAAAAAATATGAAATACCGTGTTTATAACTGTAATGCTATAATACACGATTGTAATACAGCTTTATAGCTATTCTTTCTTTTTTAATTCGTCGATCTTAGAGTTATAAAATGTATTAAGAGTTCACACAATTCGGAGCTAATACTTTAAATTAATTGGTTAAAAATTGTCAATTTTGTAATTTTCATTAATGCCACTTTTAATAACACGTACAGTCAAAAATGTAGTTTTCCTCTTTAAAAAAATATTGCTTTATCATGATATATTAAATTATTGAAACAATTACAAGATGGAAATACATACCCATATTAGAATGGTGGTTTCTTAAGTGAGGTGGTGGTAAACTGGCAAGAGGGAGATGTGGCGGTGGTGGATTACCGTTAGGACCCTGCGGTGGTTCTGGTACCGTGGCCACTGGAACTGTTCCTGGAGCTTGAGCACTATGCGGTCCGAAACTCAAAACACGACTAAGTGCCACATCTTCCAGTACAACTGGGTCTGTGCCGTGATCATAGGGACAAAGATCTCCCCTCATGCAGTATCCCTTTTCTACAAACATAAATATAAAAGAGATAACGAGTGATATCTAAATATAATGCCATTTAAAAGAAACATATTTCTTGTGACTTTGAGTCATTTTATTTTCACTGTCAGTTTAAACTTTTAAAGAAACGGCAATTTTTTTTAAACGCAATAGTTATTCTTCTAAATGGTCCAGATACATACCGTCAAAGTCTCTGCAACGTCTCTTTGCTTGTTGTTGAAAAGAACTTGTCTGATTATTTGGAATACTACTCGCGACAGCGACAACACTTTGTATCGATTGACTAGTCGTAGACAGCCTCATGTCTACATCTCCGTGATTACTATCTTGTGTTGGTGTACCACCACCAGGACTGCCCTCGGTTCGATCCGTTCTATCTACCTCTATCCTTTCGAAGCGATCGATCTTCTTCCGTTCTATTGATCTTGAACGCGATCGGGATCGAAGCGGCGTTGGAGATCTGTTTCTGAATCTTGCTCGATGATCGCGACTGTCTGGACCGTCGCGTATTCTAGGTCGTATCGGTGATGAACTGCGACTCCTAGTACGTCTAAAAAATAAAAATACATAGTGTACATAGATATCCAAGGACCTGTTTTTAAAGACTCTAAGGAAATGGAAATTCGATAGTTAATTGAAAGGAAACAAAGAAGTATCTTAATAAATATTAAACAGTCTGATATACGCAACGCTCAGCGTTGATGTAACTACAACTATTAGCAAGGTTTTTTCCCTCAAAACATTAAGAGAAAAATAATCAGACTCGCGATTTATGATAAAAGTTTTTGTGGAAATTTTCATCAAATTTCATTAAATATTTAAAAAACAAATACATGAAATATACGCACCTGCGATCATGTCGTCTGGTACTCATCGGTGGGGATTCGTTTCGCCATGGGCGACTTCTATCTCTTTCTCTATCACGTCGAATGTGTTCTCTACTTCTGGATCTACGTCTGTCCCTTTCCCATGATCGTGATCGTGATCGTGTTCTCGATCTCATTCGTCCACTCCTATATTTTACACAGTATAATAGAAAAGCTAGTATTATTAAGACTTAATATGCTAAAATTCTTGTACTTTTTAACTCTTCTTTGTTTCATATAAGCTTTAAACATTGAATAAATAAGCGGTTCGTATAAGCATTGAATTATATAGAAATTTTATACTTTACTTTAAACGTAGAGAAAAGATTACCTGCTTCGAGATCGTTTTTCCTTTTCTTTATCCTTATCTGAATCAGATTTTCTAGTCTCGCGTTTACTAATTACAGCAGGTGCGGATCCATTAATTTGAAGTGGGACAGGCGGGTTCGTAATTATAGGTACTAGTGGAATTGTTGCATCCATTACTTTCTCCGTTGATGATGGTACAATTGGGGCGGGTGGATTTACGCCGGGTGGTGTCCCACCACCATCAGGCTCACTCTTAGGCGGTGGGAGCACGTACTCTTGAGTCTCTAACGTCTTGAAGAGCAATTCCACAAAGTTTTTGGTTTCTGGAAACGATGCAACGCATTTTTAATGTCAGAAAAGAAATAGATCATCAGATTTCCAATTTACATTATCGAATATTTTGTATAAACGTACCGTGTTGTAGAAACACATCCAGCTGCTCGACCATACAGCCACGTAGTTCCTCCAAAGTTTTGTCTTTCTTGACCAACGCATAGACATATTTGGCTAGAGCAGCAGGATCTGCATCGCACCTAATAAAGAAAAATAAATTATTTAGTAATAGGCATTTATTGTAAAAAAAAAGAGAAAAATGCTTCTACTATATAAATACTTGAAGTTTATTCAAAAATGTAAATATTATAAAACTTAATCTCTAAGACACTATATTAATTAAATATAAAATTCTTTTATGCATAAATATTTGATCGAATTCAATGATGCTGTTAGCAAAAGATACTTCTTTTTATTATAATTAAAATGTACAAAATAATTAATTATAAAATACTATTATGCAAAAGTAAGATAAAAATATATATAAAGATGTTCTAATTTAAATAAAATTAACATATATTACTTGTACTTGGAATAAAGCAAGAGAAAACATAAAGCACGTATAAAACAATGTTCATTATTCCATGTTCAATATTTTCCTTAATTTAAGCATATTTGCATTATCTAAATCAGATTTTACTGGGCATGTCAATTACTTGCTTTTTTTTTAGTAACCCATTTACATTTTGCTTTTACTTCTTTACTGTTTCAACTCCATTAATCATAATCCTATATGATCTACAGTTAATCTATAACCTACAGTTTGTTGAAAATTATACACATTAAAAAACTTTCCTTCTTCAGGAAAGAATTCCAAGAGTTTATTCTAAATTAAATGATATAAAACCCCTAAGTTATAACATAACTGCAAAGTGAAAAGTATTTTATACTATGCACCAATTGTAGCATTGCGATGCAAACAGGTCGTTAAATATATGTACTTTGTAGAACTTAACGAAAACAAAGCTTATATTAATCAGAAATTAGTTTTCAGTTCCCCTTATGCAGTTGAAGTATAAATTATACCATATTTATATCGAAAATAAATGTTTGTTCCGCCAATAATGTTTAACCAAAAATAATATATTCAAATCGACAACAATTGGTAAAAAACATACATAAACTTCACAACGTTTCAACCCAGGTTTCGGGTCCTTAACAAGTGATCTAACAAAACAAAATAAAGCATGGGTTGAAACATGAAGTTTATGTATATTTTTTGCCAATTGTTGTCGATTTGAATATATTATTTTCATATTTATATCTCCAAGGTAAAAGTGTACTTCTTTTTTAAAGCGACTACGTAGAATCAATCAAATGTCAACGTGATCAAGTGGCAAGTTAGTACATAGTTCATCTATAAGATCAGAATTATACATATATAAAAAAAAACACTCAAAGCATGCCAATACCTAATGTCACTCGATGAAATAACTTTCTAATCGTCTCATTCGCTGTGGGACACAAGCAAACTACAGTCACCTACAGTCATCCCAAATGAAATTATCAAAACAAGAATACCAAATCTTCATTTGCTCAATTCAACACAAATCCCTTTGCGACGTATTAAACAAGGGACCAACAAATAATACCGTGATACGGTCCCAGAATTTAATATTCGCAACTACAACGTCAACAAATCGTTTACGAGAAAGAGACGGTTATCTCAGTGGAAGAGATCCACTCGTCTCCCACTAGACTCGGCTAGACGAAGCTGTGGCAGCGCGCTGGTGCGAGCGAAGACAGGAAGCTGCGGGTGCTCGTACTGCTCGTGCAGGGGATGGGCAGGAGGGTGCGGGAGCGGCAGTCGGCGATGCAACCCCCCGTGTAAATACCGTGTCGTCGCACGGGGACTGGAGAACGGAGACTGTGGGAACTGGAGAGATTGGAGAGCGCGGCCGCAGCCACATGTACGGCCATTTACGAGTACACACATACGCGCGCGGAGTGGTGCACTCTGGCTCACGGGGGAGAGCGCGGACTTGGCCTACTTACAGCGGCTCCAGCACGGTGGTGAGCCACGCCTTGAACTGGTCCGGATTGTTGATTATCATCCTCGGCGGGTGCCGCGTCACGGTCGGGCATAGAAGGCCTTCGCGGACACGCGTCAGTCACACGGAGTGCCACAAGCGAGCGTGAAGTCAGTACCCTCCTAGGTAAAGACAGTCGCCATTCTGAAATCAGTCGCTGTTGCACTGGCACGGGGCAGTCGCGCTTACGTAGAAGGCGCCCGCTGTCCGTCGCGAGGAAACGTCGCGGGATTCGCGGGAACAGCTGCTGCCGCGTTCGGATCGCGCTCGGAGATGTCGCTGACGTCCGCCAATAGGAGAGGCCGAATAGGACGATCAGGCCCGATCGTCACGATATGCCTGTAAAAAAAAAAAACAATTTAATTAGAAATTAAACTATTTAAACAATTTAATTAATAATTATTAAATTTATAATTGTTTCAAGAACCGTAATATAGGCTCCCTTGAAATGAGGTGACAATTACAAAAGTGAAGAAATTTACTAGAGCAGTTACGCATTTCATTGGTCGAAAGCTAGTAAATCTGTTTCACTTTTGTAATTTTCTAGAAACTCGGGAACTTCTCTATTTTGTAGCCAATCAGTACGATCTGCTGCTGCTTTTCACTGCCCATGAAATTTCACCTTTAGAAAATTTCTAGCAAGTTACTAAACTTTCCTACAAATTACTCAACTTTTCTAGAAATTACTTAGTAATTTTCAAGAAATTACTAAACTGCTGCTCACTGCTGCAGCATTTCACTGCCCATGAAAACCTACCTTTAGGCTACCGCAAAGGATATGCCAGAAGACAACCAATCGTCTTCCGCACATTTCTCGCTAGTCGCGGATTGGCCGGCGGGATGATGCGCGATAAGCTGAAGCTGCGCGAACAAGCTTGTTTGTGTCTCGTCGCAGCATCCCTTGCATTCTCGTGCATTCTCGTGACCTCGTGTGTTTGTTTGATCACGCGAAGGTTCTAGAAGATTGAGGGCTGCGGATTTCACATTTTGAGTTCAACGTTCTTGATGTTCTGATCGAGTAATAAGCGTACGATGGACGCAGGCGAGAAAATTGAGAGCTCCACAACTAAGAACGACGAGGTAAGTACGAATAATACGAATAAATTGATGTGAATGTATGTAACCGCGAGAGAAGAGATCGTGATGAGAATAACGCTCGTGATGTTTCGTAGATGCCTAAACCAAAGATAAAACACGATTGGTATCAAACGGAGAGTCACGTGTTCGTGACGATACTCGCCAAGAATGTGGAAAACGAGAGTATTAATTACGGAGAAAAGACCGTAAGTATCTTCATCGACTTGTGTCTCTTTCTCTCTCTGCTAGCACGTGATAAGGGAGTTTCGAGGGGCGGGAGGGGGTTTCGACTTCTTATTAAAAATGGGAATTCCACCTTTTAAGCGAGGTATATGTGGGATGAAGGCTGAGCCGGAATCAAACCACGGACCTTTGAGTTACTCTCGAAGCCAAAGAGCTACGCGTCATCCCAGGGAGTTTTGAACTACAGCATAGGCTACGTTCGCTTTGAGTACTTTCGTGCTGAAAGCGTCATTCTATCTTTATTGCTGATTGCATTTCGAAAAAAGATGGAGTTATTCTTTCAGCAAAAAAGGGTCCGGAGCGAACACAGCTATAATATCTCATAGTGACTCTAAGACTGATCTACTTGATGCTACAAATGCTTCAAAGTGTTCGATTGATCAATCAGGGCAAAGAAATATACTTTAAAGCATTTGTAGTCAAGCTAATACTCAAAGTATTTGGTTATTTAAATATCTCGAGTATTATTTGGATAACCGTGTACTTCGAGTACTAGCTTGAGATATCTCAAGATTCTCATATAATATTTTACAGATTGTGGTAAATGTTAATGAAAAGGAAGCTAAGTAAAATTTTGAACAAATTGTAAAATACAACTTTTACCATGTTACAAATTTGTTTTTCAGCTAAGTGTTTCAGCGAAGTTACCATCCGGCAATGAATATAGTTTAGAGTTGGATTTGGCTAACTTTATAGTGGCGGAAGAATGTTCGCACAAGGTAATGCCGTCCAAGATAGAAATTAAACTGAAGAAACGGGATGACATTAGATGGATGGTACTAGACGGTGAGCCAGTTCAATCTAACGTGAAACCTATACCGAACGGTAAGTTGTAAATCCATTACTTCATCGAAAGATGTTTAAAATAAGATATAAATGCCAAACGATAAAATGTGAGACAAAAACGTGATATTTGTTTGGAAAAATGCTTGAAAAATAATATTAGAATTTATTAATTTACTTATTTCGTTAACAATGTGTCTAATAATTATAATTTTTTATGATGCAATAAGACATTTAAACCTCTATCTTGTGTCATTTAGTTGCTGTATATTTCTTCCGCAATGTCACGATTGATACTATATGTATACAGATAATCATGTTTTTTAAAATCATGCGTATTGTTCCAGAAATACTTCAAGCTGGCACACAAGCGTCTAATGGCACACAAGCGCCTAAGTATCCAACCTCCTGTAAGATATCCAGAGATTGGGATAAGGTGGAAAAGGAAATATTGAAAGAGGAGGCAGCGGAACAAAATGTGGGTGATGCTGCGGTGAATACTCTTTTCCAAAGCATATACGGTAACGGATCCGATGAAGTGAGACGTGCGATGAACAAGTCCTTTGTAAGTACAATGTTCATCGTTGACAAATTAAATAGTAACAAAAGAAATTGCAGTTGCCTTGTGAAACAATTTGCCTCTTTTTTTTTAATAAACTTAAACTTTTAATATAAAACAGGTAAATTGACGAAGATATTTGTATGTTTGCAAGTAAAAATCAATATGCTTGAAGCCATTTGTATAGCGAGATCCTGAATTTCTCTCCTAAAGACGACAATTAATTAGAAATTAACTTATACAAATGCATACATCTAAAACATGGTGAATGTAACGAATGAAAATGACACATTTGTAAGAAATATTTCATTTATAATATATTTCATTTATAATATACAGATAGAATCGGGCGGCACTGTCTTAAGCACTAATTGGGGAGAAGTAGGACAAAAACCGGTTCAGAGAAGACCACCAGATGGAATGGAGTGGAAATCTTGGGACTCATAATTAGAATGATTTCTTTACATTTTCATCGTTTCTTTTCATCATATACAATTATCACGTTCGATCCTTAATTACCACATCTATCGATTGTATATTTTACTAATGTAAAAACAAAGGTAAACATATATTGATATTTACTTGAGAGTTTCCGTTATACAATGACTTAATAATATAATTTGCAGTTTTCAAAATTTAATTTAAAATACATTTGGTCTTGTAATGAAATGTACAAAATTATTAACATTTGCTTATACATTTAATCTTTATATAACATTTCAATTTATCTAGATAATTTACAGTTATAATTGCAAAACACTTATAATACATACGGCATCTTAGTAAAAATAAATTCCTCACACACAAGTTTACAAGTTTTTATAATAAATAGAGAATGCACAACAGAACGGCAAGTATACAATAAGTATAGCTTTTATCACCTCACGAAAGAAAACTTTGTGCTTTACTCCTCATGTTTACTTCTACTATTGAGATCTTAAAATCTCGGGTACTCTCGCAACTCGTGCGTTCGCGTAAAAGAGTCACGGTCTCGCGTATTTGGCGCGAGACCGTGTCTCTTGATTAATAGCGTCTTTTATATTCTCAGGTTTTAATATATGTTACCGATTATCACATATTTTAATAAACGTTTTATTACAAATAAGAAAAAAAACCGTAATACTCGTATTTTAGTTTGTGTGTCTGAGTAATTTTAAATTTTTAACGATGTATAAATGATGTATAAATGACTTGCGTTACTTATAAAAAATATACGATCCACATGCATAAATACCTCTCTTGATATAACTCGCTCCTGAAATTAACAAACTTGCTGAATACTTGGCGGAAGTCACGAGGATATTAGACGTATTAAATTGATTGCTTTGTTTGTCTGAAGCTATCGCGTTTTCCTGCTTTTTACCAATATCTGCTAATTGTTGGGAAACCGTAGTATTGAGTGACTGCAATATATTTTTAACGTTAGACAGTTCGTTCATATGAGTTTGAAGTAACGACTCATTCCTTTCTCGCGCTACCTCTATGGTCGTTCGCACGTCTTGTATCCTCCTGTTATTAAGTATCATTGAACCGATCAATGATACAATCGCTAGTAGGGCGGAGGCGATGATAGACAAATACTTGTATTTCTGCGCGTTTAAGTTTTGGCTAACGTGATAGTCTTTTATCGCCGTTGCCAGCTGCGTGAAATTGTCCCGCTCCTCTTTCTCGGACAACTCCAGCTGGTTCATAACTTTCTTTTGTTCCTGCAAAGACTTGTGTTCCACCATTGTTAATTGCACGTATTTGGGATCGTCTCGCCTCGTCTGAATTAATTCCGCATAGATTTCTTGCAGTTTGGAAGTGATGGCCGTTAATTCTTTATTCAGGGTCCTCCTGCTGTCCTGACAGTCGAAGAGCTTATTCTGAAGAGCAATCACCTGCGTTCTGGCTGCTTCAACCGTGTCCATTCCCGTTACTTGGTTGTACCATTGCCACCATTTTACGATTTTTCCTGGCAATGGTCCGCTCGGCTCTAATGCCCTTGCATTCAAATCTTGCATTATGATAGCCTGGTCATTAAGTTTCTGCAACATAAAAGTTAATCTTATGTAACAGTTGTCTTACGTATTGCATACAGAGAGAGAGCTGCAACTCCAACTACAAAATATCCTCCCTTTTCAATGAAGAATTCAGATTGTCGGGTGAATTTAAAATTGAATTTTCTCTTTAATCAAAATGTAAATCCAACTTGAATTTCGAGCAATTAATAATTGAAAGTAAAAAGGCTTTGATAAAGTTTTAGGTCTAACTTAGACATAACTTTTGTCTAACATTGTTTGTAACAATATTGAACGAGAAAAGTAAAAACTACAGAAATATATTATGAAACAAACGATGACTTCGTAAAATTTGATAAAAATCTGAAAAGCTCGTTGATAAATCGCGAGATAATTTTATGTAAATACATAAGGCAATGTAGAGAATTCAAAAAGAATATTTTGCATCGTCACTTGTCCCTGAAACGAGGGACAAGTGATTGACAGGTTGATCTCAGAGATTTTATCAGAAATCCAGTGTTCGTCAAAGAACACCGGATTGCAACGAAATGAAAACGCTCTTAAATCCGTGATGTTTATTGCTTACTTTCGCAACGATATTGTACTTTTCAGTCGCGATACTCTGCGCATCGGCGAGCTTGCTCTGCGCTTTTCCCGCGGCATCTTTTACAATCCCCTTCGCATTGCCGAGCACGATGTATCTCTTCATTTGCTCGTTTACCAGCTTCATCAACTGCCGGTAGTGCTCCATCATTGTGTCAGACGGACAATGCGACGGGGTTGAATTAAAACTGGATTATACACCCCGGACGAATACTGGCAGAATTGAAAATAGAGACTAACTCAATCCTAGTTTTGAACCCTGATCCATCTGGAGTCTAACCTAGCTTGACATAACCTCCAACCCGCACCCTGCGCCTTGACGCGGTAAAAGAATGGTCGGCCTGTATTGTTCGGCAGACAAGCAGTTTAGAGTTTAGATTGCATTCCGATATTAATATTCATACGCTATACCATTTCCAGCACCAACAATTAATATGGCTAACACTTATCAAGCTGTTTTTTCTGCTAAACGCAGCCAAATATTAAAGAGTATGAATAACGAAAATCGCATCAATTTATTGATTGTCGATCATTTTTTATATTTTTACTGAATTCAAGTTTAATTTAAGTTTAATTAATTTATTTCTGCGTTAAAGAATTTATGCGCTCGTAACAACGTCGAAGAATCATATATAGCTAACTCTGATTAGTTCGTTGCTGCAATGCTGTCGAAAGCGTGATATTACGAGAATTAAGTCTCTAAATTATAAAGTTTGTCCAATAATGTCCATTTATATCAGATTAATGTTAATCTCGATTTACCTTATTCTAGTTTTAAGAATTAAGAAAAAGATAAAATGTAAATTAAACCGAGATTAAAACTTCACATAATTGTTGAATTTAACAACATTATCGCCTGTTTTAGCCTTTTTACTTTTTATTTAATTCCTTTTCCATATTTTTCTCTTTTAAATGCGACGTATATACTCATTTTATATACTAAACGCAACGAAAGTCTAGCCGGCGCAATGTTGAATCGTAATTGATTTGCCGCTGAATGCCGCGATAGTTTCGAAATTTCGACAGTCGCGATATATTCGGAGCGGATTCGATATTGCGATTCTCGAAGCGGAATTCGAGTCGCTCGCGTCGCTCGCGAGTCGCGGCCAGAGTTCATCGCGAAACGCGTCGCCGCGCCGTGGAGAACTTTTCGCGTTCGAATCTCGCTTTTCCTTCCGATTATCGCTTCCGAAATTCCGCGAATCTCGCACGCGAAGCGTTGCGTCTCGCCGCGAGTGTCCTGCTGAAGGATGGCAACGCGAGTGCCGCGTGTGCGGTCGCTTATTTTACGCGCCGGTGCCCATCTGCCTACGCGACATCGGGGTGAGCCGCTTTCGCGCGGTCGCGGCCGGCGTCGGTCCGGGGTCGGAATCTCCTTCGCTCATCGTTTCCCGTCCCGTTTTTACCGCTGGACTGCTGCGAACGCGACATCGACGACGTACGATCATCGCCAGGTATGGCAGATATTTATAATTCGCTGCGTCGAAATTGAATTTTTGCTTTCTCGCTATTAAAAATATATTGCGCGAAAGCGAAAGAGAGAACGAGACGAAGGAGGGGGCGGGGAAGGGGGATGATCGAGAGAAACGCTACCAATTTTTTATCTTTTTGATTTAAGTCTGCAGTTAATCTTGACACTTTTATATTGTTTTTTTACTCTTTTCCTCTTCGTATGCGGAGAAATAATAAAATGCTCTTTGCGCTGCATAATTCATATTTTCTCATTTCTTCCTTACGTTGCGCCACGGCGACAAGTACGCGTAAGGTCTTCGAGATGGCGGGTCCGCCTTGGAAACGAAATTTGAATATCGGCACTCGGCACTAGTCGGCACTGGTCGGCACTGTCCGCACTGTCGGCAGTGATGTTTACAATTCTCTCTAGTCACATGACCGGTTGCAATAGGTTAGGATCATCGCTTTTTTTTCTCTCTCTACATCTTTTGTGTTTAGCCGCACGAGAAACCACTCGTGTCTTTATCATTCGCGGTCCGCGAAGGCCATTTCTTCTGATACGGTATGTCCGGGGTGTGTCCGAGCTCTTTGTTAAGATTTTAGGATCGCCGTTCACGTCTGACATCACGTATACGTTGACAATCGGAGTGCAGAGAGAGTTTACGCCGAATTTTAGTTTAATTTATTTAGGTAATACAACCAACAGTCACACTAAATAATAATTAATATTACTAGATTAATCAGACTTTTTTTGTAACTTGATAGATAGTCATTTTTGAAATTATGAAATTAGCTCCACTGGAGAGACTTTACGTCAAAGCATATCGGAAAAAGAGTATTTGGCTTGAAATGCATAGAGTTAAATTTTAAGAGAATCGTCGTTGAACGTATATTTATGTATTTATACATTTATACTGATTTCCATTAAGATTCCGAATGGTGTAAATTGTTGCACAGTCCATATACTTGTCACAAAACGTATCTATTGACAAAGCAATGCAATTTATAAAAAGAACGAATGAGATACCTGCCTTATATTTGTACATGCATTTATGGGAAAACTGATTTATTAATTTGACAGACGAGACAACGTTAAAGAAACGATGAAGAGAAATTTGCGAGACAGGAAAAATCGAGTACTAATTGAATTATCGGATTCCGATGACGATTATAAGACATCTAAGAAATCAGAAGATGAGGTCTGTGTACTGGAGGAAAAAGAAAAGAAACAGATTATACCGGATAAGGGAAAGTCAAAAAAGAGAGCAAGGAGAAATACAGAAGATGAAGTCTATATAGTAGACGAGAAAGATAAAATTACAGCAGGAAAAAAAGAATCAACGAAAAAGAGAGCACAGGAAAATACAGAAGATGAGGTCTTAGTAGTAGGAGTAAGTGGGAAGAAACCAAACATAGAAGATAAGGGAGAGTCATCAAAAAAGAAAGTAAAAAGAGATACAGAGGATGAGGTCTGCATAGAAGAAAACGAAAAGAAAGAGAAAATCATGGTGGATAAGGAAGAGTCAACGAAAAAGAGAGCAAGAAAAAATACGCAGAGCAGAAATGTTAAATCTGTTAAAATAAAAAATTCAGAAGAAAGCTTGGAGACAAGTAACAAGAAAATAAAGCTACAAGAAGGATCATCGCGCGCTGATTCTGCGGATGTAAAGGTGTCGGAACAAAACCGGAAAGATTTAGTTAAAGATTGCGTAAAGGAAGATGTAAAGATTGAAGAGAGATTAAACTCCAACTTTTTACAATGCACAGAATGCACAGAATGGACAGATATTGACTATGTGAGCGAAATCAACAATATTGATAGACGTATCGTGGAGAATGTGGTGAGGCTTTTCAAGGAGGACAACACTATTCCCTTCATCGCAAGATACAGAAAGAATATGACCGGTTCTATGGACCCGGATAAGTTGAGAGCGCTTCTGGAGAGTTTCGAGCAGGCAAAGACCATTAAGCTTCGCGCTGGGGCGATTATCAAGAACATTGACAAGTTGGGGAAATGGTCGCCGGAACTTCACGCTGCTATCACGTCTACGAAATCCCTCGCCGATCTTGAGTATATTTACTCTTTGTACAAATCAGCGTCGAAGCGAAGTTTGGCGGAAAAAGCGCGAGAATTGGGCCTGGGCGTTGTCAGTGGTGCAGTTTTACAGGGACAGGATATACCGCCATTGGCATCCTTGATAGACGAACAAAAGGAAGGGCTGCGAAACGAGCAGGAAGTGAGAAGCGGTATCGTGCATATAATAGCGGACGTCATCAGCAAGAATAAGGAGATTTTTGACAAGGTAACGTCCCTCCGGAAAACGTCTGTTATAGATATACAAACGACGCAGTGTAAAACAGCGGAGGATTCGAAGAACGTAAATAGCCGGAAGTACGAGCAGTACTTTAATTTCAAATCGAGCGTGAATACCATCAAGCCGTATCACATACTGGCCATCAATCGGGCCGAGTCGCAGAAAATCATCAGCGTAAAGATCATCGTTCCCGATGCTTTCGAACACGCGTTCAAGGAACACTGCTTGTCGCGATACGCGCATCGACGAGATCTCGGATGCGGCATGAAGATACTCCACTGGGATTTACTCAAAGACGGTATCGATCACGCTTACAAGAAACTGATTAGGCCTCAGGTGATACGTCGCGTGAGGAGCGAGATGAAGGAGAGCGCGGAAAAAGCGTCTATCGAGGTTTTCGCTACTAACGTTAAGCAATTGCTGCTCGTTCCTCCCGTGCGAGGTAAAATCGTTCTCGGTATTGACCCGGGTTACCGTCACGGCTGCAAACTCGCCGTCGTATCGGAGCAAGGCGACGTCCTCGAGACCGCCGTGATATACCCCCACAATCATCCATCGGCGTTTAAAGACGCGGCTAACGTGCTGGCGAAATTAGTTAACAAATACAGGTGCACGATGATAGCCCTGGGGAACGCCACGGCGTGCAGGGAGACCGAACTATTTCTGACGAAGGTAATAGAGTCGAGGATGTTCGGCTCGCTGAACGCGATGTACACCATTGTTGACGAGTGCGGCGCCTCGATTTATAGTTGTAGTCCGCAGGCAAAATCCGAGTTTCCGGATCTCGATCCGAACTTGGTATCGGCTATCTCGATAGCGAGACGCTTGCAGGACCCGTTGGCGGAATTGGTGAAGATAGAGCCGAAGCACTTAGGAGTCGGGATGTACCAACATGATCTTCCCGAGACGAAATTGACGAAGACGCTATCCGAAGTTAGTATCAATTTGTTGTTTAATATCAACTAAATGAAGTACTCGACACTTAGGTAACTTGAGAATTTTGGACATTATGCGATAACGTGCTGTTTATAATTTTGTAATGTTAATTTCGTTGAAAAATTCTGAAATTTGAAGTTGATATTTTTCTTAGCGATAATTTTAGAAATCTAAATAGACAGATTAATGCTTATTCTATTTTTAGAAAGAAAAAATCGCGATCAGGCATTTCTAAAGAAAAACTTTCTCAGATAATAACGCCATAGTTTTTTAGCGGAAATTCGATACGCAGCAGAGAGATATTCGTTTATCAAATGTTTCAGGTTGTCACGGAGGTCGTGAGTTTTGTGGGAGTTGATATCAATACAGCTTCCCATTATCTTCTACAACGAGTAGCCGGTCTCACGCTTTCTAGATCTACGAATATCATCGAGTGGCGAACAAAAAACGGGCCGTTCAGGAACAGAAAGCAGTTATTGAATGTGAAGGGTATCGGCAACAAAACGTTCGAACAATGTGCAGGTTTTATAAGAATTCTGCCGGAGACAGCGACGGTTAGCGAATCCTCGTCGGAACGAAAGAGATCGGACGATTTTGATCCCCTGGATCAGACGTGGATCCATCCGGAATCGTACGCGATAGCGAATAAATTCGTGAAACACTGCCAATGCAAATTGTACGATATCGGCACTCCGGCATTTATCAATAGGATAAATTCTCACGCGAGAACCGGATACGGGAATCTAGCCGCGCAATTCGGCACCGACGAGACTACGATGGAGACAATAGTTACAGCTCTGACCATGCAGAAGGACGACGATATACGATCGAAATTGAACCAGCCGCTGTTTCGCAACAGCGTGCGACATATCGACGATTTGACCGTCGGTACCAAATTGAGTGGCGTCGTGCGAAACGTCGTGCCTTTTGGATCATTTGTAGACGTGGGGGTTGGTAGTGACGCACTGATACACACCACCCGTATGAAAAAAAGGGATCTACATGTAGGCCAGCGTGTGGAAGTGAAGGTAGTTGGCATCGAACTGGCACGCCAAAGAATTAATCTCGAGTTAATGAGCTAGCTGTACGTAATCGCATCGATTATTCTTTCCGACGTTACATATTACAACAAAAAACTAGCATTAGGTTGGTGCTCAAAAACATTTTATTTTAATGTATTGACGTAGTCTTTTATAATTTATTTTAAAAGTAAGAAATAAAATTGACGTTACTTTTGCATCAACCTAATATCACGATATCACTAATCTCATGATATTTGTTATTTTACAAGTAAAAGAAAGCATTGCTGTTGCGTTGGTGATGAGTTTATTTTTTTTATAACGTTTACATTTGAGATTTAGCTGAATATGCAGTTTTCTTATATGTATAACAAATCATAATAAGCAACAGTAATAAAGATATATTTTATATTATATAAATAATGTCTGTATATAATTCTATGTTCCAAATTTGTCCTGACTTGATCGTGAATCACTGCTATCTAACGCTATTCTCCTACTTGAATGCTTGTAGTTTATCCTACCTATTTATTTCTTGTTATATCTCTCACAACACTTCTCATGGGTAGTTTATCTCAGAGAAATGGATTCCACTTTACGTCGTGCAATGCGACCGCCTAAAACGCGAACTCTATATGCGTGGTTGCGGAGAGTTTGCAAAACGAATTCCAGTCACGTGCTAACGTGCCTTTTCCCTTGCTGCTAGCAAAAGTACAGTCGACTACAAGGGGAGCGGGGGGGAAGAGGACGAGGAGGGTGTATTCCGCATTGAATGCCGCAAGAAGGTCGCAATTGCGACGGACGGGCAATCGTGGTTTAATCTCTTGTTTCTGAAGCCGTATTTTTTTTTACCGAGATTGTAAAAGATTAAAACTCGTCGATTAATCAGGCTTCGTTTATAATGAATTTCGTCGCGTTGCCGAGCTTCAATTACATTGCTGTTACATATGAAAAAATATGAAATATGAAAAAATAAAAATAAATGGTGTTAAAAATGTGATGAAAATAAGTACAGTTGGATGATTTAGAGATCGCAAAGTAGGTAAGAGTTACCCAAACTTAAAAATGACACAATATTAATTAATTTTCCAATTTTAGAAGTCGAAAATGAAGTCTTGTGTGAAAGATTTTATTTTATATCTTTGTTTTTTATTTTTTTCACATAGGATCTTTTCCTCTCCGTTTGTATCAACGATAAGAGAGTATCGTTCTATATACAGTAGGCGCGATCGGCATGAATACGATTTTATTACTGCATCCTGATTATTTTTTTTGTCCTCAAGACACGCTCGTTCGCCTCGCCTGAAAGTTTTAGCATGCAATCTGCGAATTCTATCTCGCTATCGGGAAAGTTCGGGCGCATACCATTCCGTTCTGTCCGCTGTTGTCTCGAACCTTGGCTACATTTTGTATGAGGAGTACACACTGTACACGCCGAATAGCTCGCTTTAGGCAGGATTTAAGAACGTGCCTGTGCCTCCGTTGGAAAATTCGTATTTGATTGTTACTTTTGGAATCGAGAAGAAACAATCTTTCGCGTTTTCTATGCACGATCGACGCGAACATGCAACGTATATAATCGATCCTTGCTTACGCGATGTATCGTTTGGAAAAAAGTTAAGCAACTAAAATAAAATGGAATCTTAAGAATATTTCTAAGGCGAGAGAGAGATATATTTTCTAGGCTCATGTTAAAATTGTAGCAAACATGTTTAAGATAAAATAATATATGAACTGTTTTGTAAAATTTAAAAACGGAACGTTTCTAAAATTATTTTTATCTGATTGATATACCTACTATTATAAATATTATGTAATTTTTATGTCTAATAAATATATCTATGTAATTTTATCTATTATAAATATATTTATGTAATTTTTACAAATATAAATTTTTAAACTGTAAGGAGAAGTAAGAAAGCCTTATCATTAATGTTTAAATCACATAACTAATTATGTCATAAATATATAACGATATTTACGATGTTTACTGAAGAGCGGTAATTTTGATCAACATGATCAACTCCGTTAATCATTAATTATAACTTTAAATTAAAATGGTGAACATTGAACATGATTATTGAACATTCTCCCGTCTGGTTAAGCTGTTAAACATTTGATTAATTAACAGTTTAAGATTTTGCGTTATCGGATATCTGTTAAAATTGTGAGGAGATCTGGAAAACGCGGTGCTCGTGGCAGAGTTTACGTACACACTCATTCAAACAGTATCAAATAGAGCCTATCGATGTCATTCACGGAACAATGCACACGATTGATTTCTTTCGTCCAATCGGATAGATCAATCGAAGCCACGAAATATTCGCGAGCAACGTAACGTAGGTGCACCCCGCGCGTACAGAATGTATAATCCGGAAATATATATATACATCCGACGGAAAACGAAATGTTCACTACGCGAAGCGAGCTGGAAAACGAGAATCATATACGACAAAAATCTATTGTTCTCCCACAATTGTGTCTTGAATTCGCGCACGAATTGCATTGGTACTTCAAGCGATAAATTTATTATATAATATTTTTTCATTATATAGAAGCAAAGAATTTCAGAGAAAATAGAATATTGAGTAAAAATATATTAAATCTTGAAAGAAAATATTAAATCAGTGATTTATCTTTTATGATGACATTTTTACATTCGTAATATATTTTAATCATTGAGGAGAATTTTGTATAAACTGAAAAAGAATTTTAAAAAATTGTCACAAATCTCAGAAATTTTTCACTTTTCTTTACAAGATTAATTGAAAGCGCTTATATCTTTATTAAAAAAAAGTATCATGAGTTGAATTCACTTAATAGTATGTAATTTTTTTCAAGATTTGAATATCCAGGATATCTATATTTTTATAAAGCGTGAAAATTGATCAATTTTGAGTTATTTTTTTTCAAATCAATCGCTTGCACGCATGTAATATAATTTCGGGAAAGCTATAAAATGAATTTAAGGTGTATTTTAAACGATTTTTTTTTATAGTTTCGAAGAATTACGAGGAAAGCTTTGACGAAGCGGGATTTACGCGATCGCGAGTTAGCTTTAATCTCCGAGATGCCAGCCATGAAATCGAAGATATCCATTTGTAAAATACGATTAAATTCTCTGTACGAATGTCACTATCGTACGTGGAGTATTGAATATCGATTTAACTTCGTGCGCCGCACAACCTTGGCATTGAATTCGCC